TATGCCCCGCCCTTCACTCGGAGTCTCAAAGCGGCTTACAAACTCCTTTCCCTTCCCCTCCCCACAACAGACACCCTGTGAGGTAGGTGAGACTGAGAGAGCTCTGACAGAAACTGCTCTTTCAAGAACAGCTCTGACAGAACCATGGCTTGCCCAAGGTCAACCAGCAGCTGCAAGTGGAGGAGTGGGGAATCGAACCTGGTTCTCCCAGATTAGAGTCCATGCACTTAACCACTACACCAAAAGGGCCATTTTCAAACTAGGCTGAGTCGGAAGAAAAGCTTTTTTCCAACTGCATTAACTTGTTCCTCCAACAATAATGTTGGGTCCAGTATAACCACTAGACTCTTAACTGAGGCACCAAGGGCTAGCTGAACCACATCAAATGTGGGGAAGTCCAATGCCCTTGAAGACCTCAGACTTTCCAACCATTATCACCTCCATCTTGTCAGGATTCAGTTTCAACTTGTTCGCCCTTACCCATTTAACCATTGCAGTCAAACATGGACTCAGGACAGCTACAGCAGCATCAGGTGATCTAAACAGAGAAAAACAGAGCTGCCTTCATAAGGGTCACCGAGGCAACTGGCAATTAAAACGTACATAATAAAACTACAGTTTGAAAAACCATTAAAACCAACAAAACACATCATTAAAACAATTAAAACCAGAGCTAAAATACATATAAAAACATAAAAACGGCAATTAAAATATTGGCCAGGAATGAGGAATCACTGAGGAATCACTGAGGGAATGCCAAACAAAACAAAAAAGGCTTCACCTGTCAGTGGAAGATGACAATAGAAGGGGACAGGTGAATTCCCTGGAAAGGGTTTCAGAGTGTTGGTGCCATGACTAAGAAGGCCCTCTCCTGAGCTATTCAAGGGGTCCAGAAGTGACCCATCCTGTTATCAACCAATCAGCCTTCTCTCTTCTCTAGGAAAATTATATTCGGTTTACTAAAGAAGTCCCTGTATTGGATGGAATCAGAAACCATACTGGGGCATGAACAGATAGGATTTAGGCAGGGTTCTTCGACATATGACCATTGCCTAATTCTCTATCACCTGACTGAGAAATATTAATGTTTTAAGGGGGGGAGATTATATGTGGCTTTTATTGACCTCAAGGGGGCCTTCGACTCCATAAATTGACCTAGATTGTGGAACAAACTTATTCAGACTACCGTGGACAAAAGGCTCCTAGGACTTATTCAACGATAATACTCGGGTTTGACTGCCCAAATACAATGGGAATTTAACAAATCCATTCAGTTTGGACAAGGGGGGTTGTTAGGGATGCTTGCTGGCACTTTTCTTGTTTAATTTATATTTAAATGACATAGCATCAGTTTTTGATTATTATTGCCATCCACCAAAATTAGCTGAGATTGGTGTACCTATTTTGCTTTATGTGAATGATGCTGTGATCTTGTCCCGAACCAGGGTCAGGCTAAAAAGGGCCTTGCACACTTTCTCCAGTTATTGCTGTTGAGAAAGCCTGGTGATTAAATACCCAAAATCTAAGATCCTAGTTTTCACCAAGATTGGAAAATGGAACCCATCTCAATGATCTATCAACAGTTCCAATATGGAACTGGTCAAGGCATTCTCCTATTTGGGGATTCTGTTCTTGGCAGATCTATCTTGGACCCCCCAATTTAGAACAGTACTTAATAAAGCAGAACCTTGTTTGAGCACCATAAATAGGTTCTTCCACTATATGGGGGGAGGGAGTATATTCCTGGAGTGGTGCAAGCCTTTAATTTGAAAGTGGCTCCATTCATTCTTTACAGTTCAGCTATTTGGATTAAAGCTGTCTCTGATAATATTGATCAACCACTAGCCCAGTTCTTAAGGAAAATATTGAATATTCACTGCCGTGTGTCAAACATTTTGTTACGGGCAGAATTTGGACAGATATTTTAACACAATTAACTTGCATATAACAACTTACAATTCCGACCAACTACTAAATTTTACAAATGTTACCGTTTAAAATCTACAATAAAATCTATTTTAAAAAAAAGAATTTGGACAGATATCCTTGGAAGCAAGAACATAGTTTTTGATGGGACATACCAGCATCTATGCTGCAAATTTGGCACCTCTACCTCAAAAAACAGTCCTCCCAGAGCCCCAGTTACTCCCAGACTGATTCTCCATTATAGCCTATGGGGCCCATTATAATGGTCCCCATAGGCTATAATGGAGCTGGAAAAAAATCGTGGTGTTTTGGTTTTTTTTTGCACACCCCTATTATGCTTTTCAGTGTGATTTGTAAGTTGCCTTGAGTCACAGGGGAAAGTGGGATATAAACATTTGAGTAAATAAGTAGTTTGGGCAGATAACATTTAAGCAACTTCCTGTTTGTTAGGCTAGGCAGGGTTCTGACTGATTGTTCCACAGCTGTGATACTTGACCTGTAACACTGTTGTCATATTTCACACACACCCCCAAGCAGACTGCAAGAGGCTCCCCCCCAAGTGCTGGTATGTTTTCTAAGGCTCAGTGCAGGGCGATGGTCTGAGGCTAGGTCTACCAATATAGTGGATTGGGGTAGGTAGACCAATATAGTGGGAAGGGGTGGGTAAAATTTGACTTTTCTGTTTTCTCTTTTGGCTGTAACAGTAGAATGGAACAAAATATGACAGGAAACGCACCATTTTAAACTCAAGTCTGACTCATAAACTTTTGTTATTTATTTATATTTATTTATTTATTTTTCATTTTTGTATCCCACCCTCCCCAAAGACTCAGGGTGGCTCACAAGGGCAAGGTAAAAACCGAGCCATAAGTAAAACACATGGTACATAATAAAAACATCCAACATTATTAAAAACAGTGGTGCTCAATCAATTACTAGTATCGTGAATCCAAGATGAAGCAACTCAGTTCAGATGGTACATCCCATGATATTATGCCTAAACGGAGACGACTTAGCAGATCTTCTAAACATTTCCAGGTTCTTCCTCAGGGCCTCGTCAGTGCATCCTTTACCGTGACGGTGATGGCATAGTGGGGCTGTGGCTCCTACTCAAAGGCCTGGCAGAAGAGCTCCGTCTTGCAGGCCCTGTGTAACTGCATAAGGTCCCGCAGGGCCTTCAAGATGGAGCTGTTAGTTGTCGGGTGTCTAGCTAAGAGAAATGGTTTTAATGTCTAAATGAAGTCTCGCTATATAAGAGAAAAGACAAGTGTATTATTTCCCACCCACTAATCAGAATATCCTTCATTATATGTGAGCTTCATTTTGGGTTCTGTGTGTTTTGGAAGCTACAGTGAATGAGGAAAGGCCCTGGGCATCCTGATAAAGGTACTATATATGAAACAGGTAAAGAAATCAATACATATAAGGATTTCTGGCTCTTATTAGGAAAGGTATTTTTGGTGGTTCAGTGAATGATAAAGATTACAGAAGTTACTCCACAGTTGAAGCACAAGGTGGTGCTATTGCATAAGACAACGCTTTTCAGGGAATAATTGCTCATCTGGAAATCTGTAGCCATTAGATGAAGAAATCTCAGAGAGAAAGGCAACAGATCCACATTGCAAGCAAACCTATGGACATTTCAGAAGGAAAAAAGCCACTGTATCCATTTCTAAAACAAATGCAGCAAAAAGGAAAGACCTGACTTGGAAACATAGAGCAGACAAATAATTCTGGCAGGTACCTTACAAAGAACTATCCTGTGAATCAGATGTAAGCAGGCTGAGACAATGGAAGTGCATCACAACAGACAAGGTTGGTCTTTTTTCTTCTATCTCTGCATGTGTGGGGCAATATGTGAGTCCTTCCACTATTCAGTGCCTGAGGAAAGGAAAAGTGGGTCTTTGGTGGCAAATGTATTAAAGGATTTGAAAGTGGATGTGAAGGAGCTGTCTGCCCGTGGGGCCCGGCTGGTTTCTAAAAGTACCAAGCAATATTTCCAGCTGGATCCTCACTCTGGGAATGTCTTATTAAAGGACAAAATAGATCGAGAGTCTCTGTGTGGTCAGAAGGACCCTTGCGTCTTACTCTCAGAGATTCTGCTGGAAAACCCATTGGAGGTGCACAGAATTGAAGTTGAAATAGAGGATGTGAATGACAATTCACCCCAGTTCTCTAAGAAGGAATTCCTTTTTGAAATACCTGAGCAGGTACCAACAAATACCAGATTCCCTTTAGAGACAGCGCAGGATTCAGACAAAGGAGAAAATGCTGTTCAGAACCACACCCTTAGTCCTAACGACCATTTTAGGTTGGATGTGCAAAGTCACCGTGATGGCACCAACTATGCAGAGTTAGTATTGCAAAAACAATTAGACCGTGAAGAGAATGCACAACTCTTCCTCATTCTGTCAGCTGTTGATGGAGGGAACCCAAAGAGAACCGGCACAGCAAATATTGTCATTCATGTTCTAGATGCCAATGATAATTTCCCTCAGTTTGATGATTCTGTGTATAAAGTGAAATTGAAGGAAAATGCCCCCAGAGGGACACTTGTGAATAAAGTCGAAGCAACTGATAGGGATTTTGGTTCCAATGCAGCTGTCACGTATTCCTTCAGTCAGGTGTCAGAAAATGTGCTCAAAGCATTCAGTCTAAACAAACATACTGGGGAACTTACTGTTGCAGGAACTGTTGATTATGAAGAGGAGAGAAATTATGCAATAAATATCAAAGCCACTGATGGAGGGGGGCTCTCTGCTTACTGCAAAGTTATAGTGGAGGTTGAGGACAGCAATGACAATGCCCCAGAGGTGACCCTCACATCCATCACCAGCCCCTTGCCTGAAGATTCACCTCCAGATACTGTTGTGGCTCTCTTCAGCGTCACAGACCAAGATTCTGGAGACAATGGCAGAACTGCTTGCACCACTGAGACAAACCTGCCCTTCATGCTTAAAGCCTCTGAGAATGACTACTACCAGCTGGTAACCCAGCAGGCCCTGGACCGAGAAAGAGCTCTGGAGTACAACATCACCCTTACTGCGACAGACTGGGGCTCGCCCAGGCTTACTTCAACAAGAATAATTAATGTTCAGATCTCTGATGTCAATGATAATGCTCCAGTATTTGAAAAGTCGTTGTATGATATGCACTTAAACGAAAATAATATTCCAGGTCTCCTCATGGGTCTGGTCCAAGCTAAGGACCTGGACACAGCACAGAATTCCAAAGTGACCTATTCTCTTTTGCCTGGGAAGGTCATTGATCAACCTGTGTCCTCTTACGTCTCCATCAACTCTGAAACTGGGAATCTGTATGCCATCCGATCAGTCGACTATGAGCAGGTGAAAGATTTCCAAGTGATCGTGAGGGCTGTGGACAGTGGTTCTCCTCCCCTGAGCTCTGAAGTTATGGTCCGAGTCCTGATCATTGATGAAAACGATAATGCCCCATTCATCCTCTACCCTCTCCAGAATGGCACTTCCCCATCCAATGACCTGGTTCCCAGGGGGGCTGAGGCTGGCTATCTGGTTACCAAGGTGGTGGCAGTGGACAGAGATTCTGGTCAGAACTCCTGGCTTTCCTATGAGCTCCTGAAGGCCACAGAACCAGGTCTGTTTAGTGTGGGGGTCCAGAATGGAGAAGTGAAAACCTTGAGGTCCATTAACAAACGAGACACCTTCAAACAGAAACTGATCATTGGAGTCAGAGACAATGGGCATCCTCCCCAGTCCACCTCTGCAACACTAAGCATTCTTCTAGTGGATGGCTTTTCTGACCCATATATGAAAATGGTAGATATCCCAAAGGAAGAAATTATGGAGAAAGAAGACCGTACCCTGACGATGTATCTGGTCATATGCTTGGCTGTCATCTCCTGTATTTTTCTGGTTTCTCTGTTGGTGTTTGTTGCCGTCAAGGTTCAGAAAAGGAGCAAAAAGGAGAGCTCCGCCCTAAATTTCCCAGTGGGACCGAATTTCCCAGAGAACTGTGGAGATGCTGATGCTGGATCCCTTTCCCGGGCTTACAACTATGAGGTGTGCTTAGCTGGTGGGTCTCTGAACAGCGAGTTCAGGTTTCTCAGGCCTTTCTTTCCTGTGTTTTCTGTGGAGCCACCTCACAACAAAGTGGAATCAATGATTTCATCTGCTTCTCAGGAAATTCCCAGCCATGCAGTAGAAGGTCAACTCATGAACCAGGTGAGAATATAATTGGCATCCAATTCTTATTGCTTAATTTAAAAATTCCTGAAGTTGATAGTGCAATAAAATCTTATTAACAACATCCCAGTGCAATCTATATGTGGGTTTAGGATGCTTCTGTTTTTTTAAATTTCTCGTTATTATTTCTCGGTATCTGCTGATTTTCCCATCCATATGTAGAAGAAAATAATAATGATCTCTCACATGTAATTTATAGTTATGACCAATAACTGTCTCTTCTCCTTTTCTTTCTGACCATTTCCCCCAATGTCTGCAGAATATATATTTAAAATTGTAGAGAGATAGGAAGGCATTAGCCAGTGTTTGGGGAATCTTCAACCTTTCGTGATTAATTAATTCCCCCTGGGAATCGTCTCTTTGTTTTTTTCTTGCTGCTGAAATCTGGAGTAATGTTTATCTGTTTGTTAGTCATAAAGCGTAATTTTGTTGCTTGTCCAGGGGAGGCAGTCTGACTTCCACAATTACTGCAGCTTGCTGCACTGATGGGCCACCTGGTGCCAGGTCTCACGGGTGTATATCTGTTGGTTATTCATAAAGCGTAATTTTGTTGGTTGTCCAGGGGAGGCAGTCTGACTCCCACACTTACTGCAGCTTGCCGGACTAATGGGCCACCTGGTGCCAGGTCTCACGGGGCAGGGGCTACTTCTACTTCAGCCTACATGTAATCTCATAATATTCTGGTCTCCAGATTTGGTCTGTGTTTCAAATACAATAATCATTTACTCATTCCGTTAAGAAAAGGAGAAATTCAGAGAAAATAGCTACTTTACTTCCTTTATGGTCTACCTTTTCCACTGGAACTCAAGGCAGATTACGGAACTATAAATCAATTAAATAAGACAGGTATAATACATACAACTGGTTTCTGTAATTAAAGTAGCAATGGAATATAGACTATATATCCAACAGACAGCTGTTGCGCTTAACCTTTTGCAGGGGGCGCATTAAAAGAGTTTTGCTCTGATGAGTGGATCATATCAAGTCAGGAAGTCCTGAAGATGTCTGGATCCCAGACCATGAAGGGCTTTCTAGGGAATAATCAACATGTTGAACTGAATCTGGGAATTAGCTGGTAACGAATGGAGTGACTGCAGAATAGGTGTAGTATGTATACTCCACCTAGTTCCTGACAATAACCAAACTGTAGCATTCTGTACAAGATGGAGTTACCAAGACAGTACTTGGGTAGATTTGTGTAGACCACCTTACAATAGTCTAGCCTCTTGGATCCTTATGCCTAGATCAACAAGGTCAAAGAAAAGAGCCATATTCCAGGCCAAATGACATTGGAAGACACCATTTTTTCCCCAACTGAATTATCTTGCTTCTCCAACAATAATGTTGGGTCCAGTATAACCACTAGACTCTTAACTGAGGCACCAAGGGCTAGCTGAACCACATCAAATGTGGGGAAGTCCAATGCCCTTGAAGACCTCAGACTTTCCAACCATTATCACCTCCATCTTGTCAGGATTCAGTTTCAACTTGTTCGCCCTTACCCATTTAACCATTGCAGTCAAACATGGACTCAGGACAGCTACAGCAGCATCAGGTGATCTAAACAGAGAAAAACAGAGCTGCCTTCATAAGGGTCACCGAGGCAACTGGCAATTAAAACGTACATAATAAAACTACAGTTTGAAAAACCATTAAAACCAACAAAACACATCATTAAAACAATTAAAACCAGAGCTAAAATACATATAAAAACATAAAAACGGCAATTAAAATATTGGCCAGGAATGAGGAATCACTGAGGAATCACTGAGGGAATGCCAAACAAAACAAAAAAGGCTTCACCTGTCAGTGGAAGATGACAATAGAAGGGGACAGGTGAATTCCCTGGAAAGGGTTCCAGAGTTTTGGTGCCATGACTAAGAAGGCCCTCTCCTGAGCTATTCAAGGGGTCCAGAAGTGACCCATCCTGTTATCAACCAATCAGCCTTCTCTCTTCTCTAGGAAAATTATATTCGGTTTACTAAAGAAGTCCCTGTATTGGATGGAATCAGAAACCATACTGGGGCATGAACAGATAGGATTTAGGCAGGGTTCTTCGACATATGACCATTGCCTAATTCTCTATCACCTGACTGAGAAATATTAATGTTTTAAGGGGGGGAGATTATATGTGGCTTTTATTGACCTCAAGG